ATATATATATATATATATATATATATATATATATATATATATATATATATATATATATATATATATATATATATATATATATATTGTTACGTTCAAAATTGTAGGTTCATAAAAAATAAACTGAGTCCGCACAGAATAGGGATTTTTAGCTCCTGCAGGAGGAGAGAACCACGTTCAGCCACATCTGCTCTCTGGTGGGTTTCCTCAGCAGAAGCCTTTTTATTAGCAGATCATAACACATGGGGTGGGTTACAGAACAGTGTTCTTCTGACAAGGCAATTGATCGGGTCATAGGACAAAATGCTCCTCCTGATTGAATCACAGAATAGAGTGGTCTCCTGATAATTGTGATTAGCCTTGTACAAACATCAGCAGTTTTCTAACAAAGTTGCATGACAGTTTGCAGTAAACAGAGTTAAGCATCTCATTTCTTTAAAGTTTGTTAGGTTTAATTATTTATACATCATGTGCATTGTTATTTTGTTAGTCAGATTAGACAGAGCAGATGGCCTTCCTTCACATTGGGGATGTCACGGTGTGTACGGAGGTCATCTAATCAGGACAGCCTTCGTGTCTTTAAGAATACACAGGATATGGGCACATCTTGGAGCCGGTCTGATAGGAGAGCTGCTGTATCTGTAACCCTGAAGCATAGAAGCAAGCTGCATGGAGTTCAAGACAGGGATGGCGTGTCAGTTTCTGATACGAACAGCTAAGCATCCACATGATGCAACACAGACTCAGAAGGTATAAGAAGCAGGAGATGACGTGGTTCGGGGCTCAAACTTTGCCGGACGCTTGCGGACGTGATTTTTGAGCCCACAGCTGTGCAAGCTCCAAGCATTTTTCTCTGTCCTGTAACGACCTGATCTGGAATAAACTCTGTTACTTTTTTACTCCTGTTTTTATAGTCCTTTTTTATTTGGTTTTACCGAGTTTGAGTTAAGAGTAGTAACTAACTTGCTCCCAGGAAAAGAACCGGTGAGGAAGCCCCCGGGGCGCTACAGCCTTTACTTCCAAGGGGACAAATCCTCCTCACTTTAACAAGTTCCATATACACATGCATTAATTTTATAATCATCATTGAATAAACCTGACATTTATATATATATATATATATATATATATATATATATATATATATATATATATATATATATATATATATATATATATATATACACTATATTGCCAAAAGTATTTACTCACCTGCCTTGACTCACATATGAGCTTAAGTGACATCCCGTTCCTAATCCATAGGGTTCAATATGACGTCGGTCCACCCTTTGCAGCTAGAACAGCTTCAACTCTTCTGGGAAGGCTGTCCACAAGGTTTAGGAGTGTGTTTATGGGAATTTTTGACCATTCTTCCAGAAGCGCATTTGTGAGGTCGCACACTGATGTTGGACGAGAAGGCCTGGCTCTCAGTCTCCGCTCTAATTCATCCCAAAGGTGTTCTATCGGGTTGAGGTCAGGACTCTGTGCAGGCCAGTCAAGTTCATCCACACCAGACTCTGTCATCCATGTCTTTATGGACCTTGCTTTGTGCACTGGTGCACAGTCATGTTGGAAGAGGAAGGGGCCAGCTCCAAACTGTTCCCACAAAGTTGGGAGCATGGAATTGTCCAAAATGTCTTGGTATGCTGAAGCATTCAGAGTTCCTTTCACTGGAACTAAGGGGCCAAGCCCAGCTCCTGAAAAACAACCCCACACCATAATCCCCCCTCCACCAAACTTTACACTTGGCACAATGCAGTCAGACAAGTACCGTTCTCCTGGCAACCGCCAAGCCCAGACCCGTCCATCAGATTGCCAGATGGAGAAGCGCGATTCGTCACTCCAGAGAACGCGTCTCCACTGCTCTAGAGTCCAGTGGCGGCGTGCTTTACACCACCGCATCCGACGCTTTGCATTGCACTTGGTGATGTATGGCTTGGATGCAGCTGCTCGACCATGGAAACCCATTCCATGAAGCTCTCTGCGCACTGTTCTTGAGCTAATCTGAAGGCCACATGAAGTTTGGAGGTCTGTAGTGATTGACTCTGCAGAAAGTTGGCGACCTCTTCGCACTATGCGCGTCAGCATCCGCTGACCCCGCTCCGTCAGTTTACGTGGCCTACCACTTCGTGGCTGAGTTGCTGTCGTTCCCAAACACTTCCATTTTCTTATAATACAGCTGACAGTTGACTGTGGAATATTTAGGAGCGAGGAAATTTCACGACTGGATTTGTTGCACAGGTGGCATCCTATCACAGTTCCACGCTGGAATTCACTGAGCTCCTGAGAGCGACCCATTCTTTCACAAATGTTTGTAAAAACAGTCTGCATGCCTAGGTGCTTGAATTTATACACCTGTGGCCATGGAAGTGATTGGAACACCTGATTCCAATAATTTGGATGGGTGAGCAAATACTTTTGGCAATATAGTGTATATATAATATGGTCGCTGACCAGCTGAGCGACACAGTTGGGTCCTTCTAAGGAATAAAGACCTAAAGACAGCGCCCCCCGCTGTCTGATCAAGGGTACTACCTACAAGTCACAGATCATTTTTACCGGTGGGACATTTGTGTCAAAAGTGAAAATGAAGGCGTGACGTGTAAAGTTGAATTTGTTTTAAGGGAAAACATTTTTTTTTGAAGATTTTAAGACACGTGTTTGAATTTGTTTTGCACCATTTGTTTTAGGCCAACTGTAGCTAAACTATATGGAAGACATTTTTGATGTGCAACTAACAGAACACAGTTTGTGTACTTGCACTTGTTTTTTTGAAGAGGTGTAACTTTATTTTGTAATTGTGACAGATTAAAAAAATCTATAGTTACAAAACACCAGCGTTACAATAAAGAAATAGTTTAGCACATGGGCGTAGGTTTGCATAGGGACCATAGGGACATGTCCCTACCAAAGTTTTGAACCGTCCTAATTGTCCCGACCAATAATTGGATGTGAGCAACATGTTTATAATTTACAGCAGTTGTTGCAGCAGTGGCTCTTTTCCTCTCGCAGCTCCTCTGCCTGGTCTCTCCTGTCCCTTTCACCTAGCAGCGCATTGAACTGTGCTGCGCTGTTTAACTCCACTCTCATTGGCTGTTCTGCCTTAGGTCCCGCCTTCTCTCTTTCTGATTGGCTGTTTTCTAGTCCGCTGTGCTTGGAGCACAACATTGAAAATTTATTCACACTAGAATGCAGTGGTTACTACAATTAATATTAGACCATGAAACTAGTCCCAATAAAAAAATGAATATCATGTACACTAAAAAACAAAAACCTTTTTTTTTCTTTTATAAAACGAAATATTCTGAGTCAGCCAGGAGTTCTGAAGACACAAAATGGGCAAATAAAGGCTGTAAGCCATCAACATTTCTGATTCTTAGCCACAGCCACCTAAAAAAGAAAATGTGAGGGTTTCCTTTTTACCAATATTTAGTTGCTGTTACTGGTTTCATTTTTTGATGACTCTGAGGAAGTTCAGGTATAATTATTAGCAGGTGTTATTTCTCTTATAGAGGAAAACAACAAGAAATGGCGGCTAAACATCTGCTGTTTATCGTTTAAAAAGCATAATTAGGGTTCCAAATAATAATAATAATTTAATTGACTATTTATACTTCTAGAAATAGGATAAAGAGAAGAACAAACAGATGAAGAATATTAACATTGATTTTATCTTACATAGATTTCCACACAGTCTATAAGTAAATTAGTACAAACATTAATGTCTGGTAAAAATGCTGGAATCTGACTGTTTATTTTGGATATTATTAAATTACAGATAAGATAGTGTTATATTGTCTTTTATAATTGTTAAAAGTGATTTTATATTTTAATAAACTTAGGCTCATTCTCAGTGTTGTGTTTGTAGATGATGCCACTAAAAAGAAAATATACATAAGGAGCTATTTATACAGTCAGACAGTATCAATATAGGACAATGATAAAAGGTTGTGTTACATTTAATCCTTTACTATTAAAAATGCACTTATACATTATATGATTATAGGAAACACAGATATCCAGTAATAATGGTGCAGGGCAGCTTGTAGGTGAAGCAGCTGGCCCTTCAGTGCTTCAGGTGATGTCTAAATAAACCAGGTGAAACTAAAATATTTCCACATGAGGAGTTCTGGATGGAGAATTTTGATTATATATATGTATTGTAGTTTTACAATTTTGGTATAATTACTGATCTAAGTGGGTTGCTCTGTTGGAAAAAGACACATTTTACATTTATATTATGTTTTAGAGTCTTTATACTCCAGTTAATGATGAATCAATTATTAAATTAGTTGACGATTATTGAAATAATCAATTAATGCTTCAAACATTGATAAACAGCATCTAATGAGTGTAGTGTTTTTTTTATTTAATTTTTATTAATGTAGCAAAATTATGCTTTTCTCTTTTAACATTGAATTCCTCTTATCAGTACGGATGCTCACATCGAGCATAAAAAAGGGCGTGCATATTGCATAGCACCAATGACACCCGACCAATCGTGTCCCTACCAAAGTTAAAATCAAACCTACGCCCTTGGTTTAGCAACAATAGTTCTGGACCATGTGGAGCAAAACTGAGAATGTAAGAAGTCTTTTAATGTAAAGCTTGAGGAACAGAATTTGTGTACTTGCAATTAAAGTTTGAACAGGTGTAAAAAAAAAAAATTACTTCAGAATTTTTTTTTTAAGTCTGCAAATACAAAACTTGGAATGTAACTCTCTCTACAACTTAAAATTTACACTTACAATGTACAAATATTCATAGCACTGACTTAACTGCCTGAGTTTAGGATCCGGTAATCCACCCTGCTGACGACCAGCCGCTCGCTGCACTTATTAATAAAGCTGGTTTGAAAATCGTCCTGCATATTAAGTCCCAGGTTCTCAGGTCATTACAGATTCTTAGTTATTCTATTTATTTATTTAGCATTTAATTGTTTTCTTTTGGCCTCAGTGATCTGGTGAGTTTCCCTTATCTTTGCTGAGGAGCCAATCAACTGACTGCTGTAGAGCTTCAACAGGAAGTTTTTAAAAGGTGAGTGTGAAGTGTGTGAAAGTCACACCTGTTAAAGTAGAAGAACCATCTGGAAGCCATGAAGCTCTGCTGTTTTCTGCTCCTTCTTGTTTTAGGTGAGTAAAAAGTATTTGTGTCCTAATTAGTTTCTACTGCTATAAACAGGATTTTATTGGCTGCTGTTTTTTCTCTGTCAGAGTCACGTTAAAAGGACAAAGAAGTTCAAAGAAAAACTGATCTTAAATAGAATTAGTGCTTCGGCTGAAACATAATTCACATTCTGGTTACGTTGCACATGCCTTTATGATCAAATACAATTTTATCAACATGAGGCAATTATTAAAAGGAGAAAGGAAAAAAAAGTCTGACATCCTTTAACTGTCTTCCTTAAAAAGGAGGAATTTAAAACAAAAAATGTTTTGGAATAAACCTGATGCAGGATGTCAACATAAACAGGTTTCAAACATGGAAACCATCTGGTAAAAGATTTTAACTGATTCATAGAGGTCTGTTTAACAGTCTGTCTGACTCATGACGCAGCTTTATTGATCTTCTACTTAGATTAAAAAATCTGTCTCAGTTTGACTTAATTTATACAGTTTCTCATAAACAATGACAGGATGCATCAAAGCAAAGTTTCATTTGCTTTATGCTTTTTTTCCCTTTCTCCTGTGTTGGTTTTATGAGGACGAGGTGTTTTTGCTGCTGCAGCTCTTTATTGAGCGCAGCTTCAAAGCAGAACAGCTTCCTCTGTGGTTCTGACTGTAATGGTGCGTGTGTGCACAGGCCTTTCTCAGGAAGATGGCCTTTTGACCCAGGATCCCGGGGATCAGGAGGAGGACTCGTCTCCAAAACCAGAAGTGGGTCTCTCTGGAGATGCTGAGGTGAGTTTCCTCTTTTAGGATCAACATCTGCTCTTTTCCCTCACATGGAGTTTCTTCCTCACTCCTTCTGGATTTTAGTGAAACCTTTTTTTTCTGAGGCTACAGTTTTAGATTTTAATTAAATTAAGTTTATTTATGCAGTTCACAAGATCATCCAGTCAGATTGATTCAAAGTTTTCTTTCTAAGGAAAACCAGTTGATTGCATCGACTCATTGACTCTTCAGCAATCCCTCACACTTAGCATGCTTGTAGTGACAGTGGAGAGGAAAAACTCCCTTTGAACAGGAAGAAACCTCCAGCAGAACCAGGCTCAGTGTGAGCGGCCATCTGCTGAGGCCCAAGGAGACAGAAGCAGAGAAAAAATTAGATTTTATTGGTTGAACATGTTCATTTTTTGCTGTCATAGCTACAAGTTTTAATCAAAACTGTTATTAATATGTAACATGGAGTGGTGCAGGAAAAATCATTAATTTTACAGTAGATAATAATAATAAGTAAAAATTCAACTTGGAAAGAATCCCACAGAGAAAAGCTGCAATTGGACAGTTTTATTGACATGAATGAAAGATGTTGTTTGGCGCTCCGGCCCCGGCAGAAAACTTTGATGGTGTGAATTGACATCTGCTTAAAAGAGTAACCTAGGAAATGGATTAGATTAGTCTTCCCTGAGGAGCCTGAACCCTGGTGAGGGGATAAGGGTGAGTGGGACTCAGGGGGGGATTTACCATTAGGCAATACTAGGCAGTTGCCTAGGGCCCCAAGTTCCTGGGGGCCCCATAAAATATATATTTTTAATTTATATTTGTGCACATTGTTTTTGATGAAACTATAATATTAAGTGTGTCTCTGCCCCCCTTCAGTGTCCACCACATTGGATCAGTCCATTTGCTGCAAATTTTCAGAAAGGTCCAAACAGACAGCAGCAAACCAGTTGAAAACAAACCATGCAAAGAGCAGTGTTGCTAACTTAGCGCTTTTGTTGCTATATTTAGCAACTTTTCAGACCCCTCTAGTGCTTTTATTCCAGAAAAGCACCTAGTGCCTAATCTATCGACTTTTTTTCTGTTAGTGGAGACTTTGGCGACAACATCTAAAAGCAGCGAACTCTGCTCTCCAGAGCAAGTAGATTGGTAACCCCGCCTCCTGCTCTCCTCTATCTTGTCTGCTGTCACGATTCATGCAGCTATTATTTCATCCAAATGAAAAATGGAGAACAGAGAAGCAGATCATGGCTTGTCTACAGTGAAAAGAAGGACTGGGTTATTTACTTTGGCCTTTTTGGAAACACAGGAAGGAGCAATCACCTAAGTGAGCTTAGTGCTTGGAAAAAATCTTTCATTCCTTTAGAGACAGCATGAAAAGTCAGCTGAGTACAAAACAGAGAAGAAAACAACAAGAAAAGGGACAAGAAGAGAGGGACACAACCTGCAGAATGGATGTCTATTTTATTAACATCTCTGTATCTCTATAATGGGTCAATTCAGCGGGCCCCATGCCTGTTTTTGCCTAGGGCCCCAAAGTTCCTAAATCCGCCCCTGGTGGGAATGATAATAGCCTGAGAGTGAGGGGTGCCATGGGGGGAGGTGGGTGAAAGCTCGGCTGGAGGGAGTCGAGGCCAGGAGCTAAATGAGGGGGACCTTGAAAGATGATTGGCTTGAGAGGAGGGGCGGTGCTGATATTGATTAGCTGGAGCTGAACGTGGGACATCAGCAGATGTTCCAGGCGACGCTGATAAGAGTCTCCCAGATTGAAGCTTCATTTGTTCTGTAAATTCCGACGGGTCCAAATTATATCAATATCTGCAGCTGGTTCTAATGTTGCCGTCGGCACCAAGGCCTCCTGCACCAACAGCAATAGTGAAATCACAGAGTTCAGGCTATGCCAGACTACAGTAGCTGAGAAACAACTTCCTCCTGCTACAGGTTTAAGCCCCAAACACGGTGAGACCATCAGCCAGGTTTGGAAGTATTGCTGCCTGTTACACACTTTTCCATCACATGACACAGAAAGGAAGAAAAGAGGAGCCTCAGCCTGGTGACTAACAGCTCTGCTAACGGCCTTCCTCACCGGCTGATTCAGTCTCTTCCTGTCCCGCTCTGCGCTGCCAGGAGCCCAGCAGACAACAGCGTAGAGGAGGGCTGATGCCACCACAGAGCCAGAGAAGGTTTGAAGCAGGGGCCTGATCACTGCAAAGGACCTCAGCCTCCTCAGGAGGTGGAGGGAGGCGGCTCTGGGCCTTCTTATACATGGCCTCGCTGTTATGAGTCCAGTCCAGTTTATTATTGACGTAAACACCCAGGGATTTGAAACTCTCCACAGTTTCTATGTTCTGCCCCTGGATGTTCATGGGGAGTGAGGTGAGGGTCTTCTCCTGAATCGATCACCATCTCCTTGGTCTTACTGGTGTTCAGACACAGGTGGTTCTTCTCACACCAGTCCACAAAGTCCATGATGACCGATCGATACTCCAGCTCCTTCCCCTCAGAATCACAGCCAACCAGGGCCAGTCTTACCGGATGCCCATAAGGTACTATCCTTAGATGGCCATCAACTTAACCAGTCATCACTTATAACTATTACGCTGATCTCTCTAAAGTTCCTGAAAATATCCAAATCTTTGATTGTGGGATTGATTTAATGTCAGTTTCCTCAGCCCCTAGGGCTAGCTTGTTTTCTTTATCTGCCGATGAGACTCTCGCTATGGAGAACTACATCTCTGAGTCAATTACAGCAGGCATCATCCCCCCCACCCCCCCCTGCTGCTTTTGTGTTGGTAAGAAGGACGGATTCCTCAGGCCTTGCATTGATTACAGGGGACTAAATGACACCACAGTTAAAAATCAGTACCTCATTTCTCTGATTAACTCAGCTTTGGATCAGATTCAGGGGGCTAAGATTTTTACCAAGCTGGATCTCCGCAATCCTTACCACCTGGTTCACATCCGGGAGGGTGACGAATGGAAGACTGCTTTCAATACTCCTACCGGCCACTACGAGTACTTGGGGATGCTTTTTGGGCTCACCAATTCTCCAAAACCTAGGTATTGATGTGCTCAGAGGCATGGCAGGACATTTTGTTTGTGTGTACCTAGATGATATTATCATTCATTCTTGGGATTTGGAGTCCCATAGGAAACCCCTCAAGTCTATCTTGCTTCATCAGAACCAACTGTTTCTGCATGCTGTTACCGACTGGCTGATTCCCCGCGATAGAAAGCAATTACAGAGGTTTCTGGGATTTGCTCATTTTTTTTGCGAGCTTAATTAGGAACTACAGACAGGCTTTTGCTTTTCTTCACCCTCTCACCTTCTCCAAAGTCAGGTTGGGTTGGTCTGATCAGGGTGATCAGGCTTTCAAAAGGCTCAGGTCATTCTTCACCTCTGCACCTGTTCTGTGTCACCCGAGGTGGATGCTTCCAGTACAGGGGTCGGGGCCAGGAGGCTAAAGATTCATCCCTGTGCTTTTTTTTTTTTTTTCTAAGAAGTGCACTGCAAAAAATTTTAATCTAGCTAAGTCATTTTTTATTAAAATAAGTGCATTTGTTCTTGAATTGAGGAGGTAAAAGAGACATTTTGCCAATGGAACAAGAGAATTCACACTTAAAATAAGAAAACACAATTGCATTGTCTTAATTCTAGTGCATTTTATCTAATTATCTTATTTCAAGAGTAAAATTACTCATTCCATTGGCAAACTATCTCATTTACCTGCTCAAATTAAGGGTGAATACACTTAATTTAAGAAATTTTTTACTTATTTCTAGATCGTTTTTGCAGTGTGGAATGGAACTATTATACGAGGGACAGAGAGTTGCTGGCTGTCAAGTTAGCTCTAGAGCAGATGAGACACTGGTTGGACGGTACAAAGACTCCTTTCCTGGTATGGACTGACTACAAGAACCTGGAGTATCTCAAGTCTGCCAAAAGATTAACTTCTCTCTGTCTTAAAGGCCCGGACCAAAAATGTCAAACCTGATGCTCTGTCCAGGGTGTTTAAGGTGGTTTGTTGAGTTTATTTGCCAGAGTCGTTAAGATGTTTTATAACTATGGTTGAGAAAGAAGTCAAGCAGGCTCTCCTTAACCAGCCTTCTCCTAGTGACTGCCCTAGTGACCGTTTGTTTGTCCCAGATGATCTCAGGAGGAAAGTTTTCAACTTCTGTCATGGTTCACGTTTGTTCTGTCGTCCTGGTGTTTCTAAAGCCATCATCTTTGTTCAGGATCAGTTTTAGTGGCCTTCTCTGTCTTCAGATGTGCAAGAGTTTGCTGCAGCCTGTGCTCTCTGTAATCAGTCCAAGACGTCTAGAAGACCTTCATCTGGTTTTCTCACACGTTTGCCTATCCCTTCTCAGCCTTGGTCTTATATAGGACTTTATCACCCGGTTACCATGTTCTGGAAGTAACACTGTTAACCTCACTGCTGCCAAGGAGATTGGGGAGGTTCTCATCCAAGAAGTTTTTCATCTGCATGGTCTCCTCACAGACATCGTTTCCGATGTATTATTTATTATTTCCTAATTCTGGAGGGAGTTCTGCTCCTTGTTGGGGAACTCCATCAGCCAGTCATCAGACTTTCACCTCCAAACGGATGGTCAGACAGAGAGGGCCAACCAGGAAACAGAGACCAAGATCCGTATTCTCTGTAAGACTTATCCCACTAAGTAGGCCAGTCAGCTCTGCTGGGTGGAGCAGGCGATTAATTCTGCTTCCTCTTGCACCACTGGGCTCTCTCTCCAGTTTTTGTTGTTTTGGGTTTTCAACCACCAGTGTTCACCATTCAGGAGAGAGATGCTAAGGTTCCTTCTGCTCGCCTGTCTGCTCTTAGGTGTCAGCGGGCCTGGAGAAGAGCTAGAAAGGTCATTTCTAAGGCCTTGATTGGTCATAGCAGATTGGTCCGGTAAGGTAGTCCAGAAGGTTTGGCTGTCCAACGAGAATCTCCCCCTTAAGGTGGATAGTAGAAAGCTGGCCGTCTGCTTTATCGGCCCATTTCTGAGATGGTGAACCCAGCGGCAGTGCCCCTCCAGCTCCCTCGTTCTCTCTTTTCCATGTGTGCCGGGTTAAACCTGCTGTTACCTCCAGGTTTTACTGATCTCTGGTGCCGGCTCATTAAAAAGCTCCTACCAGTGAGCCCGCCGCAGCCGATGACCAGCTGCACACTTGATCAATAAATGCCTTTTTGAATATATCACGTTCTGACTGGCATTACTTGTCCTTTGCTCTGAACCTTCTGACAAGTATATGTTTGATTGGTTTTTGGTATACGTGTATTTTGATTTCTAGGCCCCCGTGGAGAAAACTCCCCCAGACTCCACTGTTGGGGTCTGATGGGAGCCAGCACTGATGAAAGCCTTCTGCTTTTCTACATCTTTATCTAGCAGATTAAAGTTATTGCTGCGTCACCTCTCATTAAAATCATTAGTTTGAGTGAATCTCCTTTGATTGCCTAAAATGGAACAATGAATTCATTCATTAATTCCTGTATAATGTATTATCATTGTTGGAGTATGATGTTTTATCAGAATATTATAACATTAACTGTTTAAAAAGGCCTTGAATCATTCAGTAGAAAACACAAATGTTATAAAACAAAATATATGATTTTGAAAGTTTAATTGCAGTTAGAAAACACTTATTTATTTGATTTATAGCTGCCAATTCACATCACATCATCATCAAACACAATCATTATCATTCATTCCGTTTTTTTCCATTTTTTTCCAGCCGGCCTGTGAAGGCTATGAAGGAAAGGGCTGTACCAAGGAGTATGATCCAGTCTGTGGAAGTAATGGAAAGACATATGGGACAACATGTCTTCTCTGCCAGGAGAACCAGTATGTCACCCTTCTGTCCACAAACAAGCTGAAATCACACAGAACACACCAAGGAAAAGGAGCCAGAGTTTTGTTTGCATTCTTCACCTCTTTCATATTTATTTAATGAAGAGAAACGTAATCAAATAATCTGTATTTGCCTAAAAGCAAATGAAAATAAACACACTAGGACAGGTCTGATAGGATTAAGCCAGGCTCAGAGAATCAGCTCAGAATCAGGCAGAAAGCTAACAGGAAGGCTGGATTAGAAAAATAAAGTTGAGAAACTCCGGTAGCAAATGATTGAGTCCCATGTCCCATTTCTAACCCATTCTAACTGTGTTTCTTGTTCTTCTTCTTCTTCTGACAGACGAGAGAAGAAAAATGTCAGAGTGGCTGGCAAAGGGCCGTGTCGTCAATGAGTCACAAAAAGAAGACGAGGAAAAATGCTCCTTAGAGTCATAGATTGACCTCTGATAAACCGTCTCAATAAAACTATTCTCTGCAGCTTATTGTTTAAACAATCCACAGACTTTGATGTGAATAAAAAACTGTTTGTGAGAAAGTAATGAAGGAATATGCATTTATCACCTTTTCTATTTAAAAAGAATAATCATAGTGGTAATGAATGCCTTCCTTTTAGCTGGGATCTACGGTGGCCGGGAGGTGCAAACCAACATTACAAAATCTAAAAAAGTTCCAAAACAAATGGTCATTTCAGAAAACAAATTTACATAAAAAATAAAATAAAACAATCAAAACACTTTTAAAATTTCAAAACAAATAGCATTTTAAGAAAACAAATAAAAAACGCTTGAAACACTTTTACAAGTCCCAAAACAAATGATTATTTGAGGAATTCAACTGGAAAGGGTACTGCAGCCTCTAAAATTGTTATGTGTGAGATGTTAAACTATAAATGTCCTTAATCCAGTAATCTGTCATATTTTACATTAGAAGGTGATTAACCAGAAATTCTACTCTCATCTTCGCAGGACGTCTTAATTTGTGTGCCCTGCTTTCAGCCAGTTTCCATCCTCTTATATCAGCAATGAAAAATTAAAAATACACTACGTGTTGTTGTGTTTGGTGACTGACGTTTATTTCTGTCAGGCTGAAGGTACAAAAGTTGGAGAAATACCGATTCTCTTGGCGTTTAAAAAACAACACAAAACAGCGTAAGAAGACCTCGTTAATGTATTTATTTTACACATTTGTAAAAAGAGCAATAGATTAAAATGAATGTTACAAAGTTGAGATGATTATATGAGCTGTTTTCACTGAGAAATGATCAGGAGCGCCCTGAATATGGTCAGATCCGCCTCTCTGGCTGCAATGCGCGCTCGCGACACAGGGGGAACAGACACTCAGAGTTAGTACCCACCCTTTCCGGTTGAATTCCTCAAATGATCATTTCGAGGGTTTGGAGCCAGAGGGGCGTAAGTGGCATTTGACCAACTTTACAGGAGAGCGAAAACAAAATTATGACCAAACTTTAATCAACTGTATTTATTAACCTTCAACGTCAACATTGCACCCACATACATACTTGTATTAAGTAGTAGTTCAGTAAACAGATTATGATATATTAAAGCAATTAACATATTGTAAAACATTACAAAATCATAAAAAATAGGTAAAAAACAGCAGATACGCCCTTTTGACACCAAGCATATACAGAATTTGTAAAGAAAATAAGGCGTATCTGCTGATTTACATACAAAATATTGGCTTCAAACACTTGACATTCATAAGAAAAACAGTCTTATTTTATTATTTTTGCTATTATTATCATTTATTAATATTTCATTTATTTAGCCTGGGCATGGCCAAAATGAGATAGACCTATTTCAATTCTGAGTCATGACAGAAAAAATATGTATTTCATTTAAAACATTTATTCAGTTAACCAGTTAGTTCACCTTAAAACATTTAAACATGTAAAACTTTGACATTTAATTTTTGACATTTAACATTTAAGTTCTTTAACTCTAACATTTAATTTAATGCGTCATGTTTACACATTCCACTTGTCAACTACACATCTGTACTATCAGTGCCTACTACTTTCAGGGAGTTGTAAAACTCTGCATAGTAATTAGGAATACTCCCATTGGTGCAAAGGGTGAGGAGATCCTTTTTTTTCAAGGCATTTATGCCTGGAGGGCTTTCATACAGTGAGCTTGGTGATTGTATGGTGCTTGTGGCTCTGGTTGGTAGGCGTACCATCATCTTTTTGAAAGTTGGGGCAGTGACATCATACTTGAAGTAGATTGTCTTCGGGTCTTCTTTCGTGTAGCGGAACCACTTTATCTTCTGCCAATGGACAGCTTGTCCCTCCTCATCTTTTGATCTGTTCTTCACCGTGAGGTTGGAGAGGGATTTGAAATCAAGGAAATCCTTATGCAGAAGCTCATTCACACGGTATGGGTTTCCCTGCCTTGCCATCCTCACCAGTGTGTAATACCCATCAGGGGAGTAGATGCACACTTTGCGCCTTGCAGTTTCTACTGCGGCATGCACACTGTCGCATTCCATTTGGCTGTGCCATTGGCTGTGCCATGAACTTGTGGTCAATTGTTGAGAGAGGCAGCGAGCTCACAGCATGCAAGCACATAGTGCTGAAGGCTGCATTTCTGTTCTGTCCCCCACAAGTGTCTGAGTACAGAACAACATGTTTCACTTGAGGACTAAGTCCTTTAAGGTACATGTGAACACATGTGCTGATCTCAGAAGATCCACGGCCACCTTCCCCCTCATGCCACATGTAGCAGTTAACATCCTTACAGCCCATGTCATACACGGTGAGGTTGTATGTACTCAACTTTCGTGAGTAAAACAGGCTACTCACATTACTCCATGGAGTTGTCAAGACTTGCTCAAGGTCAAAGGTGACAGCCTTGCATGATTCATCTTCTTTTGCTCTGTTTTTATCAGTTTCTTTTTGTTCTCTTGCCTTGGTCTTTCTTAATTGGTGGGCATTGTATTCCTCACTGTGCTTTTTTTTTCGTGGTCTTCTAGACGTTTATACCACTCGCAGTATTTGCATGCGTCTTTTTTAGGAGTATGGAAGGCCATGTTAAACTCCTTGTCAAACACTGACCTATACATACTAAGCTTTTCTGGTTGGATGTTCCACTCTCCACATTTCTCTTTATACAAGTCATATATTTTCATGAGATTTAGAGAACCTTCCAGATACAGCTTGCTTGTGTCTTTTCTGGAGTAGTGAGATTCAAGTGTGGGAAATGAGCGGATGTGTTCTCTGATCTTTTCTTTGCTGCTTTCTGGGATTTTGTTATGTGGTGCATGGCGTCCTTTCTTGCTTGGAGGGGTCATTCCCAAATCAGTGTGTGAGGGCGCCTGCTGATCGTGCAAACTTCTCTGAAATATCAAGGGTCTTCAAAAAGAAATCCTTGCATACTCTAATCTGCTGCCCATTGGATGTTAAGTAATACTCAACGGAATTACTTCTCCTTGACACCTTTTCCTTGTTTCTTTTTTCTCCCTTGATTACATGGTTGAGGATGTAGTCTTTCTGCCTTGCGGAATCACCCATCTGCCAATAGCACTCAAAGATGCTTTGTCGCACTTCTTCTGGAAAGTTTGCATTGCATTTGTAGCGGCAGGAAGCGCAATCTCTGAAGCTTCATCTTCAACTTCATCACTTTCCCTTATTATACTGATCAAAATCTTTTCTGCCTCAGTCAGTTCTTGCATGTCCGCAGTTCTGTCACCCATTTTAGCACTGGGCACCACTTGTGTTACGCCCTTTTGACTCTGAAATGCACTGCAGGGTCTGGTATTACTCAGAGCCACAAGGGCGTATATGTACATATGCCCTTGTGGCTCCAAACAGTACTGATTTGTATCTTTGGCACCACTAGATGGAGCTAATCAAGACCTTTCATTTGATATATAGTACTCATTTTTGACCAAAATGCCACTTACGCCCCTCTGGCTCCAAACCCTCGATTTGTTTTGGGACTTGTAAAAGTGTTTCACATGTTTTTTTATTTGTTTTGTTAAAATGCTATTTGTTTTGAATATTTAAAAGTGTTTTGTTTATTCATTTATTTTTTATGTAAATTTGTTTTCTAGAATGATAATTTGTTTTAAGACCTTGTAAAAGTTTTTTTAGATTTTGTAATGTTGGTTTGCACCTGCCGGCCACAGTAGGGATCGGGTCACAGCGGCCCCAGCCCCAGCAGAGACTCCCAGACTCCTCCTCTTTTCAGACTCCCCTCCATCCAGACTCCCCTCCATCCAGACTTCCCTCTACCCAGACTCCCCTCTATCCAGACTCCCCTCTATCCAGACTCCCCTCCATCCAGACTTCCCTCTACCCAGACTCCCCTCTACCCAGACTCACCTCTATCCAGACTCACCTCTACCCAGACTCACCTCTATCCAGACTCACCTCTATCCAGACTCACCTTTATCCAGACTCACCTCTATCCAGACTCACCTTTACCCAGACTCCCCTCTACCCAGACTCACCTCTATCCAGACTCACCTCTATCCAGACTCACCTCTACCCAGACTCACCTCTATTCAGACTCACCTCTACCCAGACTCACCTCTATTCAGACTCACCTCTATTCAGACTCCCCTCTACCCAGACTCACCTCTATCCAGACTCACCTCTATCCAGACTCACCTCTATTCAGACTCACCTCTATTCAGACTCCCCTCTACCCAGACTCACCTCTATCCAGACTCACCTCTACCCAGACTCACCTCTATTCAGACTCACCTCTATTCAGACTCCCCTCTACCCAGACTCACCTCTACCCAGACTCACCTCTATCCAGACTCACCTCTATCCAGACTCACCTCAACCCAGACTCACCTCTATTCAGACTCACCTCTATTCAGACTCCCCTCTACCCAGACTCACCTCTATCCAGACTCACCTCTATCCAGATTCCCCTCTACCCAGACTCACCTCTATTCAGACTCACCTCTACCCAGACTCCCCTCTATCCAGACTCCTCCACTATCCAGACTCCCCTCTATCCAGACTCACCTCTATCCAGACTCCCCTCTATCCAGACTCCTCCACTATCCAGACTCCCCTCTATCCAGACTCCTCCACTATCCAGACTCCCCTCTATCCAGACTCCTCCTCCAGCTCCTCCCGGTCCAGCAGAGACATAGACCCTCCATGGTGTCCTGGTCTTCCTCCAGGTGGGACATCCCTGGAACCCCTCAGAGGGAGGCGTCCATCAGATAAAAATGTCTGATCCTCCTCAGCTGACTCCTCTGGAGGATGAGCAGCTCTACTCTGATGACCCAGCTCCTCCTCCTCTCTGTGTGGGAGAGCCCAGCCTCCCTGAAGAAGAAGCTTGGATCCAGGATCTGGTTCTTTGGGTTTGTCAACTTGTGTGACCTCAACCTGGGTGATGAATGTATGCAGCCCTGAGCATCCATCTCTTCGGCGGCCATGGAGGGCAGGTCACCTGGGTTAAGGAGATCCTTAAAGTATTCTTTTAGGTGTCTAAAGAATTTCTCATTTAAGTTCAGCAACTTTCACTAAAAATGCTTAGCAAAGCACTGCTCCCCCCTCAGTGGGTTCCTGATGGTTTGGCAGCATGGCTTTGAGGTCGGTCGGTAGTCTTTCTCCATGTCCTCTCCATCTCCAGGCCTGAGTCTTTGTCTCTGCAAACATCATGGGCAGAAGCACACTTGGCCTCATGAAGCCTCCTCGCTGCCTCAGGACTCCACAAGCCAACCAGGCTCCATACGTCTCCTCCTTCATCTTGACGTCCACCACCGCGGTTGGGGGTTTCTGCCCCCACAGACAGTGAAGGACTGTTAGCAACAGCTTTAGGCTGTGAACTCCTGCATGTGACGGGTGAGCTGGGGGGAGACCCATCCCGACTCTCCACATCTCCTGTGGGCCATTCCAGAGTAAAAGAGAGTTCAGCCTCTTTGGAGGAGCTGCTTTCCAGAGTCCAGGCTATGGTGGCGGAGAGCCGGATGATTTCCAGCTGGTGTCGCTCCACCTAGAACACATCCAGGCTTCTCCCCCCCCAGTGAGGTGAAAGTCCCCATCTGAAGCGTCTGTGGATCATGTCGCTGCATCTCTGCCTCTGACTGCTGCTCATACCTTCAAGCTTTCTCTGGTGGATTCTTTCCAGAGAAGCCAATCACAGAGATCAAACACTTTCTAACCTATATGACTGTAAAACATGACTGCAGGGCAAACAGACCGTGATCTCACTCAGACCATCAGACTCGCTTGGTCAGGAAGTCACTCCTGGATAACAGCGAGGAGAAACTTTTTATAGATTAAATCATTAAATCAGATGTTTGTGAATGAGGAGACATCACTGCCTCCATATCCAGGTGATGTTCCAGATCAGGGACAATTCACCAGAGATGATCCGCTCTTGCATTTTATTTTATAATGAACATAATAACCTTTTATCCTGGTGGAGGAACTGTCCTAATTAGATGGAAGACATCAGCTTTAACAGGCCGGCGTCATTAACCAGCCTGACATGAATGACAGCAAACAGAGGGACAGATAAACACAGGAACAAAGTAGATCATTCTCTTCTCTTTTGAAGCAATGCTTTTATATTTTTAAAGATTTGAACTAAATGAATCCAAACAATCTGTTCAGATTAGGGTCAGACTTCCTTTCTCTGCCAGCAGGAACATTTAGAATGAGAGGACAGAACAGGAAACAGGACGATCACTGAGTTTGGCTAAATCCTGCTTCTTTAATTAGCAGCCTGGCTGCGGGCGGTGATGACGCGCTGTGACGCAGCGCCGTGATGACGTAAGGTGAGCGTGCTGAGCGTCCAGCTATGGCGTCAGGCTGGATGCTGCCCAGCAGGACTCAGCTGCTCCGCGCTGACAGCTCGGACTGCTCCACACCTCGCGAGGGCTAGGAACAAAGAGGCGCGTGCCTTCCAGCTGCGGAGGGCAGCTCGCGCAGCTGTTGCCTGGGTGACCTAGCATCGCGTTAGCATGTAGCTAGCTGCTGTGTGAGCTAGCAAAGCGCGCGGCTGCTCCTGATCCGATGTTAGCGGTAGAAAGCAGGTGTTCCCTGAACGACTCTGCTGCTTAGAGGGACAGAAATGACTTTAATGCAACCTTGAGGAGCTCCGCGGGGTTAGCTAGCAGGCTAGCAGCAGGGCTATGCGGGGGCTGCCCAGCTGTTAGCCGCATGGCCGGCTAACAGCTGCTCTCTGCCCGCCTTCCAGTGTGAGTGAAGCGGCCCCATGGAGGCATAGAGCCAGCCGCTAACAGGCCGTAATGGAGTCCTTCCTGCAGATCGCCCCCCATTCCCTGGCTATAGTGCTGGCCAGAGATGGAGCCGCTGAGGCCGCCGATGCAGCCGCGGTGTCAGAGAGCGAGGAGCTGCCCAGGCACCACACCGGGTACGAGATATTTGCTGATTTCAAGGCGGAAAACTCCCAGCAGCACATCTGGAACCACCGCATCTCTGAGGCCGTGTCTGAGAGCTTCTTCCTGGGATGGATCGATGAGCATGTCCTGCTGATCCAGGGGAAGGAGGACCACCTGGAGGTGCTGAGGGAGGGATGGATGCGCAGGTCCCTCAACCCTCCTCGGGGCTTCACCATCAAATGTCTGGGTAAGCTCAGCCTGCTAATCTGAGTTTAACAGGGAGATTAATCACTTCAATCTTAATCCCAGTTTGATCCCAGAGGTCATCAGGTCAGCCTACAGGTTGTTTCTCTACTGCCAGCTCCTAGGGGCCGCTGTCCTCCTACTGTTAGGTCTATCCTTGGTCCAGCACCCCTGGATCAGTTTGCACCCCAGGATGCAGTTACCTCCTCCTCAGGATGCAGTTACCTCCTCCTCAGGATGCAGTTACCTCCTCCTCAGGATGCAGTTACCTCCTCCTCAGGATGCAGTTACCTCCTCCTCAGGATGCAGTTACCTCCTCCTCAGGATGCAGTTACCTCCTCCTCAGGATGCAGTTACCACCTCCTCCTCAGGATCCAGTGGGTTTCCTCCTCCTCAGGATCCAGTGGGTTTCCTCCTCCTCAGGATGCAGTTAGCACCTCCTCCTCAGGATGCAATGGGTTCCTCCTCCTCAGGATGCAGTTACCTCCTCCAAAACTCCTAATCATCTCACTGCTTCATTCAGGTGTGCTGAACCAGTGGCCCCCCAGGCTGGCGGCCCTCAGGGGCCCCACCCTGCTCTGGCTGTATGTTTAAGCAGCGCTGCCACTAATCTGTTGATTAATTATCATCTGTTGATTAATTATCAGGGAGCGAAAACTTCCTGAAGATGTTACAGAATATAACCAGGAGAAACTTGACTCCAGTTCTGGATAGAGGAGATTGACAAATGAAATGTTTTCTTTATTTAAATGCTAAATATAATTTTTTTTACAATGTTGGTATATTTCCTGCTCTAAGTGTGGCGCTCTGTCAGCTGAAGGCAGGTTTAGAGGTGATGATTAATCAATGACTAAGTTAGCTGGGGATTATTTCAGTAAATGATTTCAGCTCTTTTTCTAAGCTTTCTGGGACGGAGAGTTTCTCCCATGAAGGTCTGGCAGGTCTGACTGACAGCTGTCAGCTCTTCTCTCTGAATCTTTCTCACTGCCTCTGACCAGGAACCATCAGCCATGAGACCATCAACCTGTCATCTTCACATCTCACCATCAATGACGCATTAATACTAATTCTTTTTTTTTTTTTTATACTAATTCAAATAAAATGGAAGTAGGAGTGCACCGATCCATCGCTAGGCCGATCACTCCACCGGCTGATCATTCAGCCAATTGCTGCTCTAATTGAATTCCTCTGTCAGGCATAGTCTCTACACTCCGGTTAATGATTAACAGATTACTAAATTAGTTGATTCAATTCTATTCAGCTTATTTCTATAGTGCCAATTCACATCATGTCATCTCAAGTTACTTTCCAGATCACCAGATCATCCAGTCAGATTGATTCAAAGTTTTCTAAGGAAAACCAGCTGATTGCATCGACTCATTGACTCTTCAGCAATCCCTCACACTAAGCATGCTTGTAGCGACAGTGGAGAGGAAAAACTCCCTTTGAACAGGAAGAAACCTCCAGCAGAACCAGGCTCAGTGTGAGCGGCCATCTGCTGAGGCCCACTGGGGTTCAAGGAGACAGAAGCAGACATAGAAAAAGAAGCATAGATACAAAAGGCAAATGTCAACCAGCTCCACAGGCGGCCCGTCCAGGAAACACACAGCCAGAGAAACAGAACTATACCGATGATTATTCCAATAATCGATCAATCACAAGTAATCAGATTAATTAATTCAGCACTAGTCTGGATGACGCTTGGATTCACCAGGACCACCTTGTAAATCTCCCCCCTTAGAGAGCCCTGATGCTGGGCAGCGGGCAGTGGCAGACGGGGCTCTGTGCTGGAGGTGAGGGAGGATGATCAACAGTCTTTCTTGGATGAAATTATTTAAAGTAGAAAAGCTTCTCCTCCATCCAGTCCCTGATTGGCCGCCATGTTGCGTTTTCATAGAGAAGTTCAGCTGGTTCCATCTTCAGCGATCACCGCTCCTCTCTCTCCATGCGGTGCTGCTGTCTGACTCCTGATGCACTTACACTCATGTTTGGTGTTTGAGAGGGTTTTCTATGTAATATAGACCTTTGTCCACCTAACTATAAACTCAAGATGTGTTTTTCTTTCCAGGTGATGTCTCTCCCATCAGTATGTCTCCTATCAGCCAGTCACAGTTCATCCCACTGGGAGACGTTCTACTATTGGCTGTCTCTGCGATGAACTCCGCCCACAAGCCCGTCACTCATGAGGCTCTAACAGAACACCTGCAGACATGCTTTCCAGGTAACGCAGGTTTCCGTGGAAATTATCGTCAGTTTAGAAACAGGAACCTTAACTTAGTGAAACACGAAGGACTGTAAGGAGAGACTCCATCAGCTGCACAGAGGGAACCCTCAGAGTCCATCAGGTGTTAACCTTTCATTTTTCAACACAAAGATGTTTTGGCCAATGTTCCCAGTTAGCCATAAAGGCCTAAAACTGGTTTCTCATCTGATCAGCTGGTTGCCATTAGTGTTGGCTTCCCCACCGGGTGTTTCCGTCACTTACACAACGCAACGCAACTGGCACAGGGACCTTTTATTTGCTGTTTCACATGAGCCATTGGTGGCTGAAATATCTTTAAGATAAATTGTTGATACAGGAGAAAACGGCAATGAATCCATGTTAAAATGGAGCGTAATGAGCCATAGCTCTGCAACATCTGCAGGCTCCTCCAGTAAAGGACACATGATTTCTGAAGCTTTACTCATCTCAGAACTCTCCTGGAATAAGCATCAGAGTCAGGATAAGTTCAACAAATCCTGCTAAGATGATTTTAACATTGATTGAGCAGAGACTAACAGCATGGTGGGGGCAGTATGGTGTATATGGATCCATCCAGAGATGAGATGGCTGTTTTCTGTCATGTGGTGTAATGTTGATGGCTTTCTGGGGTCTTTAATGACCTGATTTCTGTATTTCCTTTTTTTCTGATTTGGACTCAGGGGTTCCTACACCGACAGAGGAAGCGCTGCACCACACGCTCAGCTTACTAGTCCGGGAGCGTAAAATCTACCCAACACCTGAGGGATATTTCATTGTAACTCCTCAAACCTACTTCGTCACTCCAAGTCTTATTCGAACTAGTTCAAAGTGGTACCACTTAGAGGAACGATCGTCTGACAGGCACCAACATCAGAAACAACAGCGTCATCAGCAAACTCAGTGCATCTCTCCTCCCTCTGGCACCGTAACACCCTCCAATTCTGGCGGGTTCCTAGACTGCTCACACACCAAGTCCAGCCAAAACCACTGCGCCGGAGGGGAGGATTTTTTCTACAACAGTAGTTACCGTGCAGATGACCCACCCAGCCACCACACCACACTGCAGCGGCGCTCCCCCAAAGAACACAGAGAGGCACACCTGTCCCAGTATTCCCCCCAAACACCTCAGCAGGCGGCCGGCACCTCTGAAAAGAGCCGCAACTCCCTGGGGTTCCCGTTCAAGACAGACACCCTCATCAAGCAGCGAGGGGGGCTCGGTGCTACCGGAGGAACAGGTGACCCGGACAAGCAATCCCTGGGCAGCGCCACGAGTGGGAGGAAGTTTGGTTTGAAGTTGTTCCGCCTGAGTTTTAAGAAGGAGAAGACCAAGCATTTGGCGACCTTCTCGGCTCAGTTTCCTCCTGAGGAGTGGCCACTCCGTGACGAAGAGGAGTCCAACCAATTGCCCCGTCAAGTAGAGATGGAGATTATTCGTAGGATCAACCCTGACCTTACCGTAGAAAATCTGGCCCGACATACAGCAGTGATGAAGAGACTTGAAGAAGAGCGCAATCAGAGAAGCAAGTCGTCTTCGGCTAACCAGAGCTCCAGAAGTAGAAGAAGTGGGGGTCGGCACAGAAAGCAGTCTCAATCCAAACTCAGCCGCTCACACAGCAAGACCAGAACGTTCCGCTTTGAAACCACCGATGGTACCCATTTAGAGCCGGCCGACAAAGACTTCAGAGGTTACTCCTCCTCGCTGGCTCGCTCACCCAGAGAACAAGCGCTGGCTTTGGAGCGCCAGCGAGCACGACATCACCTCGCTCACAGCATTCCCAATATTCTGGACTCTTCTCACCTGCCCGTCACGCCAGAGTGGGATGTGTCTGGGGAGCTTGCCAAGCGCCGCATGGAGATGCCCTTCCCTGAGCCGAGCCACGGCCCATCGGCTCATCATTCCAAAGTCCATCGTTCCCACTCCCATACCCAGGAGAGGAAGTCGAGGAACGAGCGCAGTAGCAAGGCTAAAGAACGTTCTCGATCCATGGATAACTCCAAAGGACTGGTGGACACTGGGTTGATGGGACCACCGCCCGATTATTACGATGAGCGCAGTCGTTATTTCACGGATGACGGCACTCTACGAGCTGCCCAGAGCTCATGTCACTACGTCCGGGCCACACCCCCTTCATCTAAGGTGGATTCCCTGGGTTTAGATGCTGCCAGAAGCTTTGAGAAAAGTAAGAGCAGAGACAGTTTGCCAGCGTCACCAAACCCTCAGCCCGCCTCCAGCCTTCCCGACGATTACTTCCAGTGTGCTGCTGCCTCAGACGCCGCTGTTCTGCTGGGAAGTCTAGGCAAAAGCAGCCAGAGCGGATTCAAAGCAAATGTTTCGGACAGGCAGACGTGCAGCCCTTTAAAGGAGGACCTGTCAAACGTGGGACCTAAAGGGGGAAGCCTACCTCCAATACCTCTGTCTATCCCTGACCCTGCTGTGTCAAACGGCAGACCTCCCCACAGTGCCTCCACTGGGCAAGACAAACACAAGGACGCCATCTTTAGGCCTCCTCCCAGCCTCTCATTACCTGGCTACAGCTCCTTAAGGAAACCTGCAGTTCTTGCCTCTATCCCTCTGTCTTCATCCTGCGATGCTCTTGATTCCGACGATGCTCCCAAACCTCTTGTAGCAACACTGACTGTTCCTACGCAGGGGGTGGACCCCCCTTCTAGTACTGCAGAGAGCTCCTTCGACTACTACAATGTCTCCGATGATGAGGAAGTGGAAGATGGACAGGCGAAAGAAGGAAAAGGAGAAAAGCCTAAAGGTGGATTTTCCCAGGTGGAAGGGTGTGGAATAGGCACCATGCAGTGGTTGTTGGAGAGAGAGAAGGCAAGAGATTTACAGATGCGCTTTGAAAGGACCCTTACCTTCTCTGGTGCTAAGGAGAACCATCCGGAGCCACTTCAGAGCCAGCATTCCGTCCACTCTGCCAGACTGGACAGCATGGACTCCAGCTCCGTCACCGTCGACAGTGGATTCAACTCACCACGGTGAGAGCACTGCTGTTAATGCTCTACCATCTTTATCTATGTATATCTGAGGTTAACCCTGTAACTGCCACATCCCATCCGCAGGCTGTATGTGTTGCCTACATATTGCAGCCACTTACCGCCACCATTATGCTGCGTTCACACCAAAAACACTTAAACCCAGAAATGTGGATTCTGGATCAGACTGTGGTCCAGCTGCTTTGCTGCTCGGCGTCTGGTTCTTAATCTGCTCTGTTCTGTAGCTTCTAGCTAGAGAGCAGCTCGGCTTTATTTACTTTATGAGCTGGAAAAAAAGAGGTTTAACATGTTTTTAAGTAAGAAAGTCCACCTCTAGATACCTCTGTTCACCAGTTCATCAGGTTTATAATCTCACTATAATCTGCAGTTCTTGTTGGGAGCTCCAGACCTCCAGCATTCCGCCGGGAGGCAGCGCTGGAAATCCCCGCAGAAAGCTCTCTGCTGCAGGCAGCCTGTGGGGGATTTCCTGCTGCCGTTCATAGCGGCTGGAAGTCAATAGAAAGAGTTTTTAAGGTTTGTGGTGAAGACTGCAAGAACCAGAATATATAATCCAATATTTTTCATCGGCAGGTTTTAAGATCTCTAGTTAATTTGGGTTTTTATAAATTGTTTCTCAATAGTTAAAAATGTTTTAGTGCAGCAAGAATGGAATAAAATACAATAGAAAATCTCTTTATTGTCCCTCAGTGGGGAAATACTGGTGTTTTCAGCAGCAAAAAGATTATTGAAAAAAAAATGGTCACACAAACATGGACCTTAGAAAAATGTATAAGAATAACAAAATAGTGAAGAGTTAAAATATAAACAATAAATTACTAGAAAGTGTTTTAACAATCTAAAATTGTAGAATAAATAACCAACATCCAGCTATGGACTTTTTTCCAGTAATTTGAAAATAGCATCAACATCAGAGATGTTTAAAATGACAGCAGCAGGTTATTTAACTGACTGAGGTAGAAACTGCAGAATCAGCATGAATGGAAGAACTGATTGAGGTTACTGGGAACAGTGGTGGTTCTAGAGTCTTCCAGCTGCTGGGAGGACCTGTTTGATTAGTTAGGACCTGTTTGGTTGGTTAGGACATGGTTGGATAGTTGGGGCACCTGTAGTTAGTTAGGACATAGTTGGTTTGTTGGGACATGGTTAGTTAGGACATGGTTGGGTTGGTAGAACCTGGTTGCTTGGGTAGGACATGGTTGGTTAGATAGGACAGAGTTGGTTAGTTAGTTAGGACAGGGTTGGTTAATTAGTTAGGACAGGGTTGGTTAGTTAGGATTTTTTTGTTAGGACATTTTTGGTTAGTTAGGAAATGGTTAGTTAATAAAGACATGGTTAGTTTGGACATTTTTAGTTTGGACATATTTGGTTAGTTAGGACAGGGTCGGTTAGTAAGTTAGGACATGCTTGGTTGGTTGGGAAATGGCTAGTTAGGACATGTTTGGTTAGTTGGGACATGTTTTGTTACTTGCAACATGATTGGTTAGTTAGGAAATGGTTAGTTAGTAAGGGCATGTTTTGTTAGTTTGGACATGGTTGGTTAGTTAAGATATTTTTAGTTAGGACACGTTTAGTTATATAGGACATGTTGGTTAGGACATGGTTGGTTAGTTAGGACGTCGTTTGTTAGGATATGTTTAGTTAGGACATTTTTTGGTTAGTAAGAACATCTTTGGTTAGTTAGGACATGTTTGGTTAGGACATGGTTGGTTAGTTAGGACATGATTGTTTTATTAGGACATGGTTGGTTAGTTAGGACAGGGTTAATTAGTTAGGACATGGTTAGTTAGTTAGTTAGTTAAAACATGGTTAGTTAGGACATCGTTTGGTTAGTTAGGACATGTTTGGTTAGGACATGGTTGGTTAGTTAGGACATGATTGTTTTATTAGGACATGGTTGGTTACTTTAGACATGGCTAGTTAGTTAGGACATGGTTCATTAGTTGGGACAGGGTTGGTTAGTTATGACAGGATTGGTTAGTTGGTTAGTTAGGACATGTTTGGTTGATTAGAACATGCTTAGTCAGGACGGGGTTTGTTAGTTAGGACATAGTTAGGATTTTTTTAGTTTGGACATTTTTGGTTAGTTAGGACATGGTTAGTGAGTCAGGACATGTTTGGTTCGTTTGGCAATTGTTAGGACATTTTTAGTTAGGACATGGTTAGTTAGGACAATGTTAGGACATTTTTATTTAGCTAGGACATGGTTGGTTAGTTGGGGCATGTTTGGTTAGTCAGGACGTAGTTAGTTAGGACATTTTTAGCTAGGACATGGTTGGTTAGTTAGGATATGGTTGGTTAGTCAGGACATGTTAGGTTAGTAAGAACATGGTTATTTAGGACATGGTTGGTTAGTTAGGACATGTTTGGTTAGTCAGGACGTAGTTAGTTAGGACATGGTTGGTTAGCTAGGACATGGTTAGTTAGGACATGTCTGGTTAGTCAGGACATGTTAGGTTAGTAAGAACATGGTTATTTAGGACATGGTTAGTGAGTCAGGACATGGTTAGTTGGTTAGGACATGGGTAGTTAGTTAGGACATGGTTAGTTAGGACGTTTTTTATGGTGTGATATCATCTCCTTTTTAATGAGTTTCATGTATATTCTGCCTGTTGTTGCTCCCTGGAGCATAGCACCTCCTGCTGTTTTTGTTTGACATCTTTCTATTGTCTGTCTCTACAGAACAAGGGAGAGCTTAGCTTCCAACACCTCCTCAATAGTGGAAAGTAACCGACGTCAGAACTCGGCCCTGAGCCCCGGACACCTGGGCGCCACCCGCGGCAGCGCTCCTCCTTTCTCCTTCCGCTCCATTTCAGAGTCTGCCAGCACTCCTCAGGAGAAGCTGCAGAAGCCCACTACCTGCCTGGCATCCATCACCAGTGTCTGAAATCAGATCTGAGTGGTCGGTGGAGCGGCGGATCGGTGGAGCGGTGGAGCGGCGGATGGAAGCTCTTTGTCAGAGACATGAACCCATGCAGGCAACAAAGACATTCTACCCCCTGAGCCGCTGCTGGCTCCGGCCTCCAGCCACTGCTCTAGCATTTTTTTATCCTATCTGTTTTGGTTGAGGTGTGTGTGTGTGTTTATAGTATGTCTGTATTCTCTGTAATCTCAGGTTTTGTTAGTTCCAGTCTCATCCCTGGTCTCCAGACGGTGCGTCTCCTCATGGTGCTGCACCAGCGTTAGCTACTGTTCACCCTTCAGCTGCGGTGTCACATTTGCTACCTGCAGACACCCTTTAAGGAAACACAGCCGGAGGAAAAAGATTTTCATATATTTGTATATTTTGTGGTATTTTGTTAACACGCACAAATCATATTTCCAAACTTTCTATAAAACCAACACTGATTTCACAGGGGGGGGGGGTCTTCCAAAGGTCAGATTTTTTTGGGAGATAAATGTTTATGCCGGCCAGTTTGACATGGTGAGACTGAGACGGCATCCTGGACTGTTAGTGTCTGACGTTTCAGATAACCTTTGACCTTTAGTTCCACTACTTTAACGTAGCCCAGAATGATGATGGGAGGCTAACGCCTGCATGGTTCATCCTGTTTGTGCTGTCAGTAGTTCCCTACTGTAAAAAGTCCAGCAGTTCCCTGCTTATTTCCAACTTAATAAACCAATCTAGTCGAGCAGTCATTTTCATTCTTTGGGTTTCAGTGTCTATGGTGTAAAGTCACGGATAATCTGGACTGAAGATGGTTTTCTATCCATCATTCCTCTCTTGTTCCTCAGCAATGAAGCGTTTTTTTTTTTTCATTCAAAGCTATGAACGTTTGCTCCCTCCATGGACCATGGTAGACCTTTCTGTTTTTCTTATTCTATGTGAGGAAACCAACTCTCCCTGACTTTAAACCTTATTACCTTGAGTGATCCACCACGGCTAATTAGCCTAGCTCTCAGCTGATTGCTTGGACATAATTTAATAAAACATAGTTCTCATAAGTTTGTACCTGGATGTTTGTAGGTCGATGGTCCTGATGCTGCTGCTCCTACCGCTGGCAGAAGAAAGTCCTGTTGTCTTTACTGTCGCTAGTCCAGTCTGCTGCCCAGGAACCATTTTATGCTCACATTTTTCTAAAGGTGCCAGTAACATTAAAGCTTTAGGAGCAACCTGGGTAATTCATACCTGGAGGAGGAAGGAGTCGTTCTTCCACACAGACCGTCTGAGGTTCAGCAGGGCCTGTTCAATGCGGGTTCTGTTCAAGGCGGGTCCTGTTCAAGGCGGGGCCTTTTCAAGGGCGGCTTTAAGGTGGGTCCTCTTTAAAGTGGTCCTGTTCATGGAGGGGCTTGCTGAAGGCGGGGCTTGTTCAACTGGCACTGGTTCCCATGCAGCTGATTGGTTGCGTTCTTCCAGCAGATCTCCAAGCCTTTTTTCCTCCTCTGTGTTCAACCTTTCATCATTTCAGTCTTACTTCATTTCTGAGCCTATTTGTTTGGGTTTCTAAGGATTACCTGGCTTTGTTAGCAACACCAGGATAGAAGAACCTTTAGAATGGTTTAAAACCGTGATGCATAAACTCGCTGGTTTATGCTCCCAGTTGTAATAAAAAGTGCCTTGTTGCCATGGTTACACTCTTATTACAACTACCCAAAACCAGAGCCATTGAGATAAGAGAGTTATGACAATTTAATTGGAGACAACGGCCAACAACACAAAGAGCAATGTTGGTTGATGCAGCTTAAATGGTTCAAGAGGAGTTAGCCTCTCATGCTAAAGTTGTGATTGATAGTAGCAAACCATGCTAAAGTAGAGGAAAATGGATGACATCATGCTCTCTGCTTTCACCTAGCATTCAGTAATAATAATGAATACAGTAGTAGCGGTTTAGTCCCCTTCAGGCCAAATGGCCTCCATGTTTCCAGACAAAGACCATCATGGAAATGGGAAACCGCTGCCGCTCTGTTTTCACACAGATCTACATACAGTAGATGTGTAAAGAGGTCCATGTCTGTAAGACCACATCTACTAATACGTTATGTTGTTAGAAAAATGGTTTCACTTGTCGTCTCTATCAAAACGCTACTAATTATGATTGAGACAGAATTAAATAACAGAGCCAGCATCACCCCCCCCCCCCCCCCCTCTTCAAATAAATAAATGATGCTGTCATTTTTGTCTTTGTATATTTTTGCTTGTAATTAAAGTCATCCTCCATAGTTTTGGATCAAATGCTTATTTCTTGCCAGAATTGTTGCTTTCGGAGGCGATGGAGTAATTAAAAGCATATACCTAAAATAACAGGTTAGGAATCCAGCTTTCATTGAGGTTTGTTGTTTGGTCCAAAGTCTCCATCAGACTTGTCCTGAAATCTTTGGACAGGGACGTAATTCTTTTTTTTTTCTCCTTATGTTGTGCAGCTTAAAGGAACCTCAGGTTCCTGAGTCCTGGCCTCATTCTGGTCCATAGGTCACTGCGGATCAGAACCGGTAGCATTCCCAGTGGGTAGTTCACTGACACAGTCCCTGCTTTCAATATCAGCTGACATCGGCTTTTATTTTTGTCTCCATGCCTTAAATGTGCTCGTCCAGTTGGGACTCCTGCAGCTCAGTGACTCCATGCAGTCCTCTGGGTCTCCTTCTAAGAAATATCCCTGAATGATTTGAATTGTAAAGTGCATGTGTTGTGAATTGGACTTGAAGGTCCGGTTAAGGTAAATGATAAAAGCAAAAAGCTGAACTTTCATCCTGGACTTACAGGAAACATTAATGCCAGCGGGAAAATAACCTGGAGGGTATGATTACTAAGAACACAGTAAGTATTGAAGTTCTCAAAGTAACAATTCATTTCAACCAATGAATAAATATAGCAATAAAGCAAGTTAGTAACTTTGTAATGGAAGCTGGTGAGGACACTATAAGGCAGAGGTCAGGGATTAGCGGCCCGCAGTCCAGATCCGGATCCACCTGCTGGCTAATCCGGACCCAACCTGATTTAAAATATTTATAAATTACTGCATGTTGTCTGAGGGCAGTGTCTAAACGTCACTTGCACCGCTTCCACTGTCACCATTCAGACCTCCTGCGCAAAACAAAGCCTACTGCCTCCGCTGTTCCTCCCATATCACTGCACTCTGACTTATCCTCCGAGCTCGAGGAGAGCACACGCCATATTATCATTAAATTCGTAGGAGCAAAACATGCGAAAATTAAGGCTTAATTTAATATGATATATTAAAATAATCCCCGTCAGCATCCAGCAGATGTTCAGTTTCTGATGGAGATGAGAAATCTGCTTCCTGGTCTGTTGAAGGACCAATAGTTTGCATCCAGTCTTTTAAATAAACAGTGTTGGTTTTTTGAAATATATAAGAATTATGCTCTAATTTGTAGTTACCGATCTGTTGTTACTATATTTTAATTTGACAAACTGGATCTTCTCACAGTTCTTTCTCCTGTTTGGTGCGATTGAAATAGCGGATCTTGACCTGGCCGGAGCGGAGCCTGAACATTTAGAGGATGTTTGGCTCAACCTGCTGCTGTGAAGCAGGATTCTCCACCATGAACAGAATCAACAATAAATATGGATCCAGGCTCAAAATGAGCTCCTTGATATGTGCTTTAGAATGGCTTAGTCTCCATTCTAACCCAGGTTTAAAGCCTTGCAGGGCAGCATAAAGCCCACTGCCAACATTAAGACAGAAAAAAGAAAGAAAATAACAAACCATCAGTTCAGGTGTTTTATAATATATGGGAATGAGGAAATTGTTTACATACCAAACTATTGTTGTTCTCTACTTCAAAAAAACACTTTAGATATTAAAATAGAAAACATTTCTTTATTTTTTTTTATTTTTTTTAATTTATGTTTAACACCTCATTTTATTTCAGTGTTAAATTCTGTTTAAAGTAACGGATCATTAAAAATGTCTCCAGACCTTTACTGGTTGATGATTTTCTTTATTCGGAGCCTGTTGGTTATTAATTGGTTCCCTCTGCTATAGGGGTTGGGGATGATGAACCTGCAGTTACAGGATTTAAAGGCTTTTGTTAGGTTTTTGTATTTAGCTAAAAATAAGCCCAAACACATATTTGAATTTCATACATTTATTCACTTCTTTCATATTGCTGAGAATGCAACGGCAACAAAATATAAATATTATAATATACAGATAGACTGGTTTCCTTAAGTGGCTCTTTTGTAACGGCTCAGATGTTTTGCTTTTTTTAAACTAGCAAAGAACACACTATTTGAAATCCTGCTTTTGTTAAACTTATTGCATTACAATACTAATTTTCAAGGCTACTTACACTCTGTTGCTTTTTTTGTTGAATAAGCTCACAATTGTGCACACTTGATCATTTCTTCGTTTGTTGGACTGTTTATTCTCCACCTGTGCAATTAAAAAACGAATACTGCCCATCTCTTGTGTTTGGCTTAGTAGATCTCGGCATGACATCAACTTCAAACATAGATCTTTGTTTAAAAAAGGTTGGGCACCCCTGGTGTAGGGCCTCCTTTTGCGGCCAATACAGCATCAATTCGTCTTGGGAATGACATATACAAGTCCTGCACAGGTCAGAGGGATTTAAAGTCATTCGTCTTGCAGGATAGTGGCCAGGTCACGATGTGATGCTGGTGGAGGGAAATGTTTCCTGACTCGCTCCTCCAAAAAACCCCAAAGTGGCTCAATAATCTTTAGATCTGGTGACTGTGCAGGCCATGGGAGATGTTCAACTTCACTTTCATGTTCATCAAACCAATCTTTCATCAGTCTTGCTGTGTGTATTGGTGCATTGTCATCCTGATACATGGCACCTCCTTCAGGAGATAATGTTTGAACCATTGGATGCACATGGTCCTCCAGAAGGGAAGTATGGGGCCAAGGAAATGCCATGATATGGCAGCCCAAACCATCACTGATCCACCCCCATGCTTCACTGTCGGCATGCAACAGTCTGGGTGGTACGCTTCTTTGGGGCTTCTCCACACCGTAACTCTCCCGGATGTGGGGAAAACAGTAAAGGTGGACTCATCAGAGAACAATACATGTTTCACATTGTCCGCAGCCCAAGATTTGCGCTCCTTCAACCATTGAAACCGACATTTGGCATTGGCACAAGTGACCAAAGGTTTGGCTCTAGCAGCCCGGCCGTGTATATTGATCCAATGGAGCTCCCGACGGACAGTTTTGGTGGAAACAGGAGAGTTGAGGTGAACATTTAATTCTGCCATGATTCGGGTTTTGGATACAATCCGGGTTAGCACCCGAACATCCCTTTCATACAGCTTCCTCTTGTGTCCACAGTTAATCCTGTTGGATGTGGTTCGTCCTTCTTGGTGGTATGCTGACATTACCCTGATACCGTGGCTCTTGATACATCACAAAGACTTGCTGTCTTGGTCACAGATGCGCCAGCAAGACGTTCACCAACAATTTTTCCTCTATGAACTCTGGTATGTCACCCATAATGTTGTGTGCATTGCAATATTTTGAGCAAAACTGTTCTCATACCCTGCTAATTGGACCTTCACACTCTGCTCTTATTGGTTCAATGTGCAATTAATGAAGTTTGGCCACCAGGCTGGTCCAATTTAGCCATGAAACCTCCCACACTAAAATGAGAGGTGTTTCAGTTTCATTGTCCAACGCCTGTATATACACTATATTGCCAAAAGTATTTGCTCACCCATCCAAATTATT